TATGCATGAACTTTTGCAATTATAAATTTCTATTTGTGCAGTTTTACTGATATTCCACGGCTCCACTTTCACTTACTGGTGCGGACGTATTCTGATGTAGGCTGACTCTGGTACCCATTTTTCAGGATAGTGGCACCTTCAACAGTGTCTGGTTTCCAGTCTGAGGAGGTATGCACAATGTCTAATCAGACATAAAAGGTATTCACCGTAAATCCAGAAATTCTGTTTAATCCTATAGCATAATATAGCATATGAACTGAAGACAAACCTTTTGCATTTGAGTCTTCAACATTCTTGAATTATGTAGAATGTTGAGTGAAAAAAACAGAATTAAATTAGTTACAGAGAGCATGAAGTAACAACATTAGAAATACAATCTTCCAAGTCATCCGGTAGATGCTCCTAAACACAGCTGAATCATCTAGGCATAAATAACCATATTGTTTTAGTTTCTATGCCAAACACGCATAGCTTTGGATCACTCATAGATTGTCCCTGGTGTCTCCTTATTTGATTATTTAGTACCTGTTGACTGTTTCTTTCTCCCAGATCTCCACATGTGTCAACCAGTTTGTGCTTTTGCACTGCTGGTACAGTGTAGTGCCGCCTGCTGTGGGCTTCACAGTATGAAGCAGCACAGGTCAGACAGGATTTCACAGCTCTCTCTCTCTTCTCCAAGCAGAAATCACAGGCTACTTCACCTGGCCTGGTACAGCTGTGATTAGACAGAAAATGACAATATTAGAATTAGGTTGCAGTCACCTCAACTCCAAGCTGCTATATCTCCGTGTATGAGTTTCGAATGAAAAGTACCTAGTCTGGAGTAGGTACTAAGAAAGGGTCATGGACCTGCCAAGGAACTACAATCGGGCTGAGTTCCTGGGGAGTGAACACAAAAGTCCCTGAATCTAGAAAAATGTTCGTTTCAGAAAAAGGTTCAGGAGGTGTGAATGCGCCTTAAGCAACTAAAGTTTCTGGTTCTGGGAAAAGGTTCTGGTTCTGGAAAAAGTTCCTGCAGTGTGAATTCTCATTCAACATGGGGTACTAAAGTGATATGTAGCAGAGCAAAGTACCAATACAATGTGGAGCACTGGTTAGATAGCAAAAGGAAGGTTAGTTCAGACACGATCTTCTCAGCGTACCTCACAAATTATTTGACTAATGTTTTCCAGTCTTTGCAAGTACTTTATATGCATGAAGATCTGGGACTCTTCAAACATCAAAAGAAGGATGAGGAATTGAGGTTTTCCTTGTGAACAGGATCAATCCTAATGCCATTATTTACTCTACTTACCCTATCTGATCTTAGATGGATCTTATCGCTTTACAAAAATATGGATGAAAATCTACACCAAAAAAATGTATCGTTATTAAGATCTAAAATTGTAACTGCAACAACAGAGGGCAGCAAAATTTGAACTACCAGCAGGGGGCAGCCTAGAGCAAATACAGAGCCTGCAGCCGCCATCTGTAAACACAGATCTTCCGTGAATCTTTGTACAAGTCAGTAATTTAAAAATTAAGAAGCATGAGACGATTTTCTAAATATTCTATAACAAAATTTATATCCCTTGTTGGTTGCTAGCCGCCCCACTCAGAAAATTTCATCTGTAGCAGTGCAGTAGCCGGCTGGTGTGGACAAATGACTTTGCTCAGATGCCAAGCTTCGCTCTCAACTGTGTGTGTGTGTATATATACGTCTGAGTATGACAGAAATGTAGAGAGTTTAACCATGTAGAACCCATCAAAATGTGAGTTCAGCCATCAGTCGACATAAAATCACTATTATTACTTTTTGTTGTTGTTGGTATTCTCTAACTGAGAACCAAAAGTTAAAAATACTTTGACTTGTTCATATTGTTCTTGTTCTAAAACTGTAGGGTGCAAGATGAGTTTATACTGGTTTTTGGCTACTGATAATTGTAATATAGTGGGAGTTCTGAGTGGACAGAATGTTTTTTTAGCAGTGGTTAAAGGGTAAGACTACATACTGCTGAGTGTCAGGTGTTTTACAAAAAGCCCATGTAATACCAGGAGACTTGTGGGTCACACTTGGTGTTGCGGTGCAGTAACATTTTAATAAGCGATGGCTGCTTTGATACTCTTGGAAGAAACTGTGAACGTCAGAGTGTGGAGGGACCTAACTGAGTTTTTATCCCATGATGATGAGCAACTCCTGAGCCAATTTAAATTTCCAATATCCTCTCGGAACTCTCGGATGAATTGGGGCTGCCTTTGGAATGGCTGCAAGGAGCCATGATTTACCAGTCCCACTGCAAGTCCTGAGCACAATGGGATATTGGCAATGGCAGCTTTTCAGAGACAACAGGCTTATTGGTCAGTATCTGGTCAATCACTGGAAGCTTGGCCTAGAAGCACTTATTCTGGGGCTTGATAGCTATAAGCTCGCTTTTCTATCTGGCTTTTCTATCAGCAGAGGACTGGAAGAAAGACGTTACCAGTAAAAAAAAAAAAAATCCTTAAAATAATTTGGCCTTAAGTAACAGCTCATTAAAATGGAAGTCTGGTAACTTGTAAATCAAAACTGGGAAAGAAATTACTTTGAGTCAGTGGGAGGCTCCTGTTTCAAATTCAGTGGTATATCCCGAGAATCGTCAGTCCTCACAGACATACAGCTGGGAACAGGCGAAGGTGGTCTTTCCTCCTGGACACTGTAAAATCAGAGACAAGTATTAAACCTCATTGCAAGGGTCTCTGTAGTCACCAGTAGTTTTCCAAACATTCAATGAGTGACCCACAAAAAGGGCCTCACAAGATGTAGAAAAAGAAAAACTTTTTATTTTGTCCCAAAAAAAAAAGAAAAAAAAAGAAAAAGAAAAACTTAATTATCCTGTCAGAACAAAAGTCACGACTTGTCTAGATACCCGGTACCCACACAGATTTTGCAAACTGCAGCAACATTGTTTTGAAAGTCACTATTATAGATTATAATTAAGCCTAGTCTAGGGGTAGGGAACACACTTTCACTAACTGGGACATGGTCAAGCATTTCATTTAATATCATAAACTTAATTAATGGCAAATAAATTATTTCTTATATATTTGTTTTGGCATTAAACTCATCTTTATCTTAGTGTACTTTGTAAATATGTCAGATTTATGTTACGTTTGTAATTTGACACCAAAATATAGACATTGCAAAATGCAGTTTGGAACAATTGCAGACACATTATAAAAGTACATAGTAAGCAATGCTGGCAGTTTGTTTTGATCCCAGATATCTGATCACCAAAGTCTTGGCTACATGAAGATGAGTAAATGTTGTAGTTGCAACATTCAGTTGGATAAATAAGAAAAACCAAACTCATGTCACTATTTATGGCTCCTTTCATTGAATATGTAGCAACTTTCATGTGTATGAATGAGCCATTGTCACCTGGCCACGTCCCTACCCCCCTTTTATGGTGCTGATGGGGATGTATCTGGATCAGAGCATGTGAGCGGAGTGGAGCGGAGCGTGAATGAGGAGCGGAGCGGGCGGAATATAGTCAGAGCGCGGAACGGTTTTTAAATTAAGGCTGGAGCGGTTGTTCTGTCTCGCTCCAATTTCGCTCCGATACCGCTCACACTACGACTCTGAGGCGTGCCCAAATCTACCCAGAATTCATCTGTACAATTATCAAGACTGTTACGCAAATTGGCCGAGATGGAATTCGCAAAGTATTTCACTGATAAAACTGATAAAACATGCAAGTGTACTATTCTTATCAAACGTATAGATGACAATAATGTAGAGCAAGAACAACAATGTGGTGAAACTGTTTCAGTGAGTAAAGATTCACTTTGGAATCACTTTTCTCAGAAACATGAGTGTGCTACACGAACAGGCAGAAGCCAGAGCAAAACGTGAGTAACGTGTATATGGTTGTAGCATATCAAGTCTATAAAGTAAAGTATAAAAGCCTATTAAGTAAATATTGGTAATCAAATAAATTCATTTTGTCATTTAAAATAGGTCTAATAGGATTTTTTAAATTTCACGTAACGCTGTACGTGAAATTTTATTTTATAGAGACGCAGCAGCAGCATCGACAGAAAAAACTGAGGAATTTAAAACGTGGATGCTTAGTTTGTATATTCTTTAGGCTATTAAGCCCACTGATTCCTTTATTTTTAAGTCTATTTTTGTTTGGAATGCCATTGCCAAACCTGTCCGTTGTTGCCTACAGTGGTGTGAAAAACTACACCACTTTGGATCTTGGTATGATGTCTAGCTTTTGAGGTGCTTTTGGTCTACTTCTCTGTGTCAGGCAGCTCCTATTTAAGTGATTTCTTGATTGAAACAGGTGTGGCAGTAATCAGGCCTGGGGGTGGCTACAGAAATTGAACTCAGGTGTGATAAACCACACAGTTATTTTTTAACAATTACTTTTTCACACAGGGCCATGTAGGTTTGGATATTTTTTCTCCCTGAATAATAAAAACCTTCATTTAAGAACTGCATTTTGTGTTTACTTGTGTTATCTTTGACTAATAGGTAACGGTTTTTGATGATCAGAAACATTTTGTGTGACACACATGCAAAAGAATAAGAAATCAGGAAGGGGGCAAATAGTTTTTCACACCACTGTATATGTTGCTTAAACATAGATATTTTCTGTTCTGAGTGGCAATGTTGCCGTTGCTCATATTTCTTTTTGATATAAGCCTTCGGTTTAAGGTGACATTTGTTAGGCATGCAGATTATTTGTCCCTCTTTTAAATTGGAGCGAGCGTGGAGCGATTTGACAGGAGCGGGAAGAAATTTTAGTTGAGCGGAGCGGCTTAGTGCGAATTAGAGCGGAGGAGCGGTGGAGCCAACAGCCTTGTGAGCGAGGAGCGGGAATTTTCACCGCTCCATTCCGCTCACATGCTCTGATCTGGATCGCGTTTCACCGCTGCGCTGTTCATCAAATTACCTTTCTAATGCGATCTGAATACGTGTTAATGCGGCTATTTAGAATGTGAATAGCGATCTTCGGGTGAGAGCGGTACTACACGCCCCAGATGCAGGTAAAACAAAGTAAGGTGACATGGTTTACTTTTTTGCCGGTTTAACCTAATTTTAAAAACTTTAATACTTCCGACAATGGACGTTTTGAAAAGAAGACAGATTACGGATTTAATCAGTGTTTTATCATGTTTCTATAATAAGATTTCAGTGAGTTATGAACTGAAATACACGAGAAAGATACTCGGCATCAACAACGATGCCGTCGACTCCAGAGGGTTAAAGGTGTGCTAATCTATACCTAATCAGAAGGATCAGGTATCAGTCATACGTGGCCAATCCACCTTCGATACTCATGTGGTTTTTGGAAATCTGTAAAAATATGTTGCCTATTTTTGTTACCCCCCCTAGAGTCAGCTAAGGCACCGAAGCCTTAAGAAAATGTTCTCTGACAGTGTTTGTTGCAAATGCTCGAAAAATACACAAAGAGCATGTTATGATCTGTATGTATCTTTAAAAAAATGCTGATTTATTGTATTTTGAGATAACACATTTTAAAGTAGACTTGTACTTATGGCAGTGAGTATTGTCATTGATTGGTAAAATACAACCAGTCTTTTGAACATTCAATTCTCTCCCCCATTGTCGCTAAAAACAGAGTCTGTGTATGTGCTGCACATTGCTGTTTTAGAAAGCGAGAGCCAGTGAGCCCCCCCAAGCCCCGCCCCTCACACACAGGCTGCCCTGTGCATTGAGTAACAGCTCATTAAAATGAAGTCTGGTAACTTGTTACTTAAAACTGGGAAAGAAATTACTTTGAGTCAGTGGGAGGCTCCTGTTTGAAATTCGGTGGTATATCCCGAGAATTGTCAGTCCTCACAGACATACAGCTGGGAACAGGCGAAGGTGGTCTTT